GGGGCACCTGGGTGGCAGTCAGCTGAGTGTCTGACGCTTGGTTTTGGCTAAGATCCTGATCTCAGGGTCATGAGATTAAGCTCCATGTCAGGCTCTGTACTTGGCAGGGAATCTGCTTGAGATTCTCTCTCCCCCTGCCCCTCCTGCTTGTGGGCGCTCTCTCTCTCATAAATCTTTAAAAAAATAAAAATAAAAAATTCTTTAAAGTTCTTAAAACCAACCAAAACAATTTAGGATTTTATTTATTCATTAGAGACACACAGAAAGAAGCAGAGACATAGGCAGAGGGAGAAGCAAGCTCTCTGTGAGGAGCCCAATTCGGGACTCGATCCCAGGACCCCAAGATCACACCCTGAGCCAAAAGGCAGATGAGCAACTGCTGAGCAACCCAGGTGCCCCAAAACAAGAAATTATTAAACACAGATTCAGGGGATCCCTGGGTGGCGCAGTGGTTTAGCGCCTGCCTTTGGCCCAGGGGCATGATCCTGGAGACCCGGGATTGAATCCCACGTCGGGCTCCCGGTGCATGGAGCCTGCTTCTCCCTCTGCCTAGGTCTCTGCCCCTCTGTGTGTGTGTGTGTGACTATCATAAATAAATTAAAAAAAAAAAAACAAAAAACACCAGATTCGGGATAGTAGTTATCTGTGAGTGGGCAGTGGATAAGGAATAAGGATAAGGTATTTAGGTAGATGTAAATTATCGGTTACATTCTATTTCTTGGATCAAGTGGTAGTTTCATGGGTATTACTATATTGTTGATAAGGAAATGAAAAGTTTAATGGCCCATGGCTGGGCCATTGATGATTATGTGCCATGAACTAAGGATTATATGATTAATCCAATTTTATGTACCCAAGTTCAAAGAGAAAACATATTCGTAATAGCAAACATGTATATAGTACTTACCATGTACCTGGCACTATTCTAAGATCTTCATATGTTTCAACAAATTTAGTCTTCCCAGTGAAGAAATTCTACAATTATTCCATTTTATCGATGAGAAAATTGAGGCCCAGAGAGATTAACAGTAATTCTTCTGCCCACAGCACAGCTGGGATTTAATCCACACTGGCTGGTTCCAGCAACCATGCTCTTAGTCAATGCCCTATAAGATATCTAAATAAATGAAAGAGATAATTATATTAGGGTTTAGTCAAGCAGAAGTTATAGCAGAGTGCTTTCTGTAGCAATGTTAAAAGGATGAACCACACACAGAGCTCTGTAAATATACTGAAAACCACTGACTTCCACACTTTGAATGGGTGAAATTTATGGTATGTAAATATTTTAATAAAGCTGTTAAAAATAAAGGCCACAAACCACAAATAACTAAGTGACTTTAATAATGCAAACTGGGTCCTAAATGACTGTTTGCTATTTTAGGATTTAACATATGCCTATAGGTAAAATACACGCTTTTTCTGCAGACCAACAAAATAAACCTATCAGGAGACCATTCACTTTTATGAAGGAAGATGAAATCGAAAATTTTAATCCACTATTGTGGGTAGGAAAATAATTTCAATTCCCAGCTTCAGGCCTTTTTCCATCTGCCAGGAAATCAAACAGCTCTCAGCTCCCAAAATAAATTTCATATTGCAATCCTAATTGTCTGTGTACTGAGGGTACACAGACAATAAAACCTATGAAGAGGGTGGAAAGAAGACATTTGATTGAAAACATACTGATACTGTTTTATTGTGCAGTTTTCTTCCATATGCATAACTTTTATTTTGCTGTTTCCTTTTAAATCTAAAACTGGTTTTAAAGGATATGGAAAAGGCACTTCATCATATAGAAAGCTAGTTGTGGCAGCTCTCCTGCTGGGCTGTGTGCCTGAGAGCCTTCCAAGCACAGCTTCAAGGGACCAATGTTGATGCCAGAATGGGCTATGGTGGCTTTTCTTCAGCTCTATGTCTTGGTTTTTGACAAGGTACTCACAAGGAGGCCAGATGGAAGCTTGAACCCGACCTTAACAACTCTATCACTAACGCCAGAAAAAGGGTTTAAGGTCCTGGCCCTCTAAACATGGGTCACTTTTAACCTCTTTCAGCTCTAAAGCACAAGTACAAACATAGGCTGATAGAACCTCACTAATCACCTTCATACTTTAAAGAACATAAAGGAAATGAAAACACTTATTTTGACTACAGCATGGCCATATTATGTCTAATTATCTAATTCTGTTGTGGACATATACACATATATACACACAGCAAAGTTATATTTTGGTTCCAGAATCCAGGCCTTTTGGTCTACCAATTCAAATTACCAGTCCTTTGGACAGCAGACAGGCCAGCAGTCCCCCTTAGGCAAGCTTTCTGGAGGCTGCCAGCTGCGGTAGCTTCCATCCAGCTCCCTGGTATTGCAAACGCCAGGCCACTAAGCCTAGCAGAGCCTCGGGCACTGCCACACATACTGGTACCAACTCCTTGAGTTCTCTCCCTCAACTCGTATGCTCCTTCAATCCCTGTTATGTTGGACAAACTATACTGATTTGGGCATCTTTGATCATTCAGTCACCTATGCAGGTCAATTTAAGCCAAAAATAGTCACTCTGGAGCCTGGTTTATTTGGATTGGCTATTAAATAATCAGATAACGACTTAACTTCAATTTTGTGTTGTATTTAATATAACCTTGAAAGAGATTAAAATCCCCTAACCATGTAAAGCTTTTTGACTTGTGCTTTTACAAATAATATGTTGGTTGTTGTCTTTACTCCCTAACATATAAATTTTTATCTTTAAATATCATTTCTCCCTAAAAGGAATCAGATCTCCTTGGAGAAATGGCTAATTTCATGTCTGGGGCAGGAAATGTACCAGATAAGCCTGGAACAAAATAACGAGGGGGAAGAGTGGGAAGAGAATGTATACTAAACAAGATTGACAGGGGTTGCTAATTGTTGAAATTGGGTGTTGGGTACATGGGAGACCTTTATAGTATTCTACTTTTTTTTTTTTTTTTAAGATTTTTAAAAAGTTATTTATTCATGAGAGACACAGAGAGGGAGGCAGAGACCCAGGCAGAAGGAGAAGCAGGCTCCACGCCGGAAGCCCCAGGCGGGACTCGATCCCGGGCCCCGGGGTCACTCCCTGGGCCGAAGAGTAGTTAGTTGCTCAACCACTGAGCCCCCCAGGCGGCCCAGTATTCTATTTTTTTTAAATTTTTATTTATTTATGATAGTCACAGAGAGAGAGAGAGAGAGAGAGAGGCAGAGACACAGGCAGAGGGAGAAGCAGGCTCCATGCACCGGGAGCCCGACGTGGGATTCGATCCCGGGTCTCCAGGATCGCGCCCTGGGCCAAAGGCAGGCCCCAAACCGCTGCGCCACCCAGGGATCCCCCAGAATTCTACTTTTGTATTTTTTTCTATAAAAGTAGTTTAAATGAATCTAAAAATAATTGCTATTTTAAGAAAACGAGATGGTAATAACATACACGTGGTAAAACAAGTTTCCTTTTAATAGAAGAAATGCTAGAATGACATGCAATGACAAGCTGAGTCTCTCTCCCGCCAGACCGTCCAGCCCCGTCTCAGGGCGATCTTAGTGGCCACTCCCTAAGTACCGCCGTGAAGTTGCTAAGGAAAAATCAAGAAAAACACAAACAGCGCCGCCGCCATGTCCCGTGGAGAACCCCCCGCGGCAGTACGTCCCACACCCTGGCCCACTCGCGGGCTGTGGCAGCTGGTCCTGGCACGCGGGGGAGCGTGCGCCCGCTGCCGCGACGTCCTCACACCAGGTTTCCTCCATCCGAGCAAGAAGCGAAATCCCTATCGCTTCCCTCGACGTCATGCGGGGAAGGGGGGCGAAGGCAGAGCCGAACTCTGCAGCCCCGGCCCGGACGCGGCTCCCAAGCTCGGGTTCGGGCAACAGCCGTGTCGCCCCGAGAAGGGTCGCGTCACCGCCACCGCCGCGTCGTCCCCCGCGCACGGGCCTCGGGGTAGGCGGGTAGGCGGCGGGGAGGGCCGGCCCGGGCTTCCCGGCCCCCCCCTCCCTCCCCCGACGCCCGAGCACCTGCTCCGGCTGCCGGACTCACCTCACGACGGGCGGGCCCCGGGGGGTCGGCGAGGCGGCGCGAGGAGCCGCGGGGCGCACGCCCACGGCTGCACGCGGAGGTCGGCCCTCGCCCGGTGACGGGGCGCGACGTAGGAAGAGCGAACCGACCGACGTCGCCGGGCGGCGGGGAGCGCCCAGGAGCCGGCCCGGGCGAGCCCCACGGCCTGCGGCGTTCTCCGGCTGCCGCGGCCGGCCTCCTGGGGACCGCGCCCCGAGGGCTCGGGCCCCGCACAGGCCCCGAGCGGGCGGCCCAGAGACACCAACGGACGCCGCGGGACCCCATAGGTGCCCCGTAAATGCCCGTGGACGGAACGCCGCGAGCGCCCGGGGGCGGAGCCAGCGCCGTGTCAGCATCTCGCGACGTCCCGGTGACGTCGCACGGCGAGCGCGCGGTCCGCTCTTTCACCTTCAGTCAGCCTCCTCCGTGTACGGCCTACCCCTTTAAGCGGATGACGGACAGCTATTTCAGCCTATCAACTTCCTCGTCAGCATCCAATCAGATTTAAACTTCTTACAGCCGCCCGAGGAGTTGGAAGAAGCGGTCGAGAAAGGGAGCGCTTTCTGTCTCTCGCGAGAACGTTGTAAGCGGGCCTCTCAGGAAAAACGCCGGAACAGATGGCCCGACTTTCCAAATCGTGAGTTAAAGGACGGGGTCGGAAACCAATGAAAGGAATGAGGAGGTGGGATCACCGCTTTTACCGCGCTAGAAGTACCGTTACAGGGCAGACTTTTCGCCCAATCAGCGCCTCCCGAGTTTGGGTCAGGTGACCCTAGAGTGCGAGGGGCGGAGCTGCGGCCTGGCGCGAGGAGCCGTTAAGATGGACAACAAATATGACCAATGAGGTACTCGGACCCGGGCGTTGGGAGCCCAATAACAGCGGGCGGGCGGGCGCCTTTCCGGAGCGCGGGGAGTTGTGAAGACAGACGGGACGTTTTCCCAATGAGCCTGTAGCAGAGAGGAGCCAGCTGACCAATGAGGACCGCGGGGCGGGAGCCTCTGCCGCGGCGGAGTCCAAGATGGCGGCGTGCGGTTCCGCTGTGTGAAGCGAGCGCGGGGCGGCGGGCTCAGCATCTCCGCGGAGACGACCTCCGGCGACCCGCAACAATGAAGGGGAAGGAGCGCTCTCCGGTCAAGCCCAAACGCTCCCGCGGTGGTGAGGACTCGACTTCCCGCGGGGAGCGGAGCAAGAAGTTAGGGGGCTCTGGTGGCAGCAATGGGAGTAGCAGCGGAAAGACCGACAGCGGCGGCGGGTCGCGGCGCAGCCTTCACCTGGACAAGTCCAGCAGCCGAGGCGGCAGCCGCGAGTATGACACCGGCGGGGGCAGCTCCAGTGGCCGCCTGCACAGTTACAGCTCCCCGAGCACCAAAAATTCCTCGGGCGGGGGCGAGTCGCGCAGCAGCTCCCGGGGTGGAGGCGGGGAGTCACGTTCCTCGGGGGCCGCCTCCTCAGCTCCCGGCGGCGGGGACGGCGCGGAGTACAAGACGCTGAAGATCAGCGAGTTGGGGTCCCAGCTGAGTGACGAGGCGGTGGAGGACGGACTGTTTCACGAGTTCAAGCGCTTCGGTGATGTAAGTGTCAAAATCAGTCATCTCTCGGGCTCTGGCAGCGGGGATGAGCGAGTAGCCTTTGTGAACTTCCGGCGGCCAGAGGACGCGCGGGCGGCCAAGCATGCCAGAGGCCGCCTGGTGCTCTATGACCGGCCGCTGAAGATCGAGGCGGTGTACGTGAGCCGCCGCCGCAGCCGCTCCCCCTTAGACAAGGATCCCTACCCGCCGTCGGCCGGCGTGGTGGGCGCCTCCGTGGGCGGACACCGGCACCCCCCTGGAGGCGGCGGCCAGAGATCGCTTTCCCCTGGTGGCGCGGCCCTGGGGTACCGAGACTACCGGTTGCAGCAGCTGGCTCTTGGCCGCCTGCCCCCCCCGCCTCCGCCACCGTTGCCCCGTGAGCTGGAGAGAGAGCGAGACTATCCGTTCTATGAGAGAGTGCGCCCGGCGTACAGCCTGGAGCCCAGGGTGGGAGCCGGAGCAGGAGCTGCTCCTTTCCGAGAAGTGGATGAGATTTCACCCGAGGACGATCAGCGAGCTAACCGGACGCTTTTCTTGGGCAACCTAGACATCACTGTGACAGAGAGTGACCTAAGAAGGGCTTTTGACCGCTTTGGAGTCATCACAGAGGTAGATATCAAGAGGCCCTCTCGGGGCCAGACCAGTACCTATGGCTTCCTTAAATTTGAGAACCTAGACATGTCTCACCGGGCCAAACTAGCAATGTCTGGCAAGATCATTATTCGGAATCCTATCAAAATTGGTTACGGTAAAGCTACACCCACCACTCGCCTCTGGGTAGGTGGTCTGGGACCTTGGGTGCCTCTTGCTGCCCTGGCACGAGAGTTTGACCGATTTGGCACCATCCGCACTATAGACTACCGCAAAGGTGATAGTTGGGCATATATCCAGTATGAAAGCCTGGATGCAGCTCATGCTGCCTGGACCCATATGCGTGGCTTCCCACTTGGTGGCCCAGATCGTCGCCTTAGAGTAGACTTTGCAGATACAGAACATCGTTACCAGCAGCAGTATCTGCAGCCTTTGCCCTTAACTCATTACGAGTTGGTGACAGATGCTTTTGGACATCGGGCACCTGACCCTTTGAGGGGTGCTCGGGATAGGACACCACCCTTACTCTACAGAGATCGTGACAGAGACCTTTATCCTGACTCTGACTGGGTGCCACCCCCGCCCCCAGTTCGTGAACGCAGCACTAGGACTGCAGCTGCTGCTGTGCCTGCTTACGAGCCCCTGGATAGCCTGGATCGCAGGCGAGATGGCTGGTCCTTGGACCGGGACAGAGGTGAGCGAGATCTGCCCAGCAGCAGAGACCAGCCTAGGAAGCGAAGGCCGCCCGAGGAGAGTGGGGGCCGGCACCTGGATAGGTCCCCTGAGAGTGACCGTCCCCGAAAACGTCACTGTGCTCCTTCTCCCGACCGCAGCCCGGAATTGAGCAGTAGCCGGGATCGCTACAACAGTGACAATGATCGATCTTCTCGTCTTCTTATCTTGGAAAGGCCCTCTCCAGTCAGAGACAGGCGAGGAAGTTTGGAGAAGAGCCAGGGTGACAAGCGAGACCGTAAAAACTCTGCATCAGCTGAACGGGATAGGAAGCACCGGACAACTGCTCCCACTGAGGGAAAAAGCCCTCTGAAAAAAGAAGACCGGTCTGATGGGAGTGCGCCTAGCACCAGCACTGCTTCCTCAAAGCTGAAGTCCCCTTCCCAGAAACAGGATGGTGGGACAGCCCCCACCACTGCAGCCTCTCCCAAGCTCTGTTTGGCCTGGCAGGGCATGCTTCTATTGAAGAACAGCAACTTTCCTTCCAACATGCATCTGTTGCAGGGTGACCTCCAAGTGGCTAGTAGTCTTCTTGTGGAGGGCTCAACTGGAGGCAAAGTAGCCCAGCTCAAGATCACTCAGCGTCTTCGTTTGGACCAGCCCAAGTTGGATGAAGTAACTCGACGCATCAAAGTGGCAGGTCCCAATGGTTATGCCATTCTCCTGGCTGTGCCTGGAAGTTCTGACAGCAGGTCCTCCTCTTCCTCAGCCACATCAGACACTGCCACCTCTACTCAGAGGCCACTTAGGAACCTTGTGTCCTATTTAAAGCAAAAGCAGGCCGCTGGGGTGATAAGCCTTCCCGTGGGGGGCAACAAAGACAAGGAAAACACCGGGGTCCTACATGCTTTCCCACCCTGTGAGTTCTCCCAGCAGTTCCTGGATTCCCCTGCCAAGGCACTGGCCAAATCTGAAGAAGATTACCTGGTCATGATCATTGTCCGTGGTGCGTCCTAAAGTCCATGTATAACTTGTATTTACTACTTTGACATGGTTCCTGTTTTGTGATGTGTAATGGGATACAGCATCAGATGAAATTTTCTTTTGAGTTAGTTTGTTTAGTTGTAGCTTTTTTTCTTTTTTTTATATTTTTATAAGCCTTTGAAATAGAAGACAGGACAGTTTAGCTATTATTTTAAGTGAAAGGGATGCCCTGAAGGTAGCAGGCAGATGGATTTATTTTAATTAGGAGTTCCTACTCTTAGTAACTTTCCCCCCTCTTTTTCTTGTCCCCCCTCCCCTCCCTTAATCTTGAGCTTAAAAAAAAATCCTCAGAGTTACAAACCCAAAATTTCGAAAAGTCAGGATTCGGAGAAAAGCCCATTGACTATATAAAGAAGATAATATACATCTAAAAAGGGCTTGATTGGTATGTAGGTAAATAATTCTTGTACCAGAAATATTATTTGTGTGACTGAAATTTGATCAGGAATCTTAAAAGTACAAGCTGGTAAATTGTATAGCAATGTTAATTATTTTAATCAGGTATTTGAGTATTTCTCTTGATATACATGGTTTATTCCCGGAGAGTTTGCTTTAACATAAACCTTTTTATCATTAGTTTTTAAGTTCTGTATCCCGTATATGCACTTTTGGTTTGTAGCTGTAACTGTTCAGTAAAAATCGAGGAGTAGGTTACAAACCATGTATGTCTTATGCTAGTATGCAAGAAGTGAGTAGGTGTTTTTAAAATCAGAATTCTTTGGTTATTGGTGTGTGGTGATGTTTTTTACTGACTTTCAGAGAGGTATAGCAGGTACAGTTCTAATTTAATTGTGCATATTTCAAAACTTTAGTGTTTTTCATCAAAGATGAATTTTTTTGTATCCATGCAAATTTCTGATTTCAATAATAGAAAGAAGAGTTGTCTGCAGGCTGATAAGTCAGCTTTTTGTTTTAGTGGGCATTAATCAGCCATATCTGGATTGCAGAAATTTTTAAAGTCATCGTGAAATGCCTTTGACATGCTTCTTAAATTTTGCCTGTATTTTTATTTTCATTTATAAACAGCGGTGACATTACATTATTGAAAATGTTGAGTATCTCTCAAGTTCTGTGTTTAATATTTTCACTGATGTCCAAACTGAAATGTCAGTATAGGAAAAACCCTTTTATTGTTTTATTTCCCAGACACCTGAAATTAATACAAAATAATTTAACCCACCCTCACAATTTTTTTCAAAGCTAAAGGTTATATCGATTTCTGGTTCGTAACAACGGTTTTTGCTGCAGAACAGTAATGGATGATTTTTTTTTTAATTTTTTTTTAAATTTTATTATTATTATTTTTTTTTGGTCTTATTTCTTTGATCTGTCCCTCTGTCCTCACCCCTAGTTTCTCGGGTTATTAGTAAGTATAGTTCCCCCTTTGATTTAAATGCTGAGGACTTTAAGGCCCTTGATATTTAATTAGATTTGATTAGAAACTCTAGGACCTTTTGGATCATGGTCATGTTTCTATTCTGTGAAAGTGACTTATAGAAAGCCTGGCAGAACTCAACTGTTTTCTTTCTGTTATCAAAGCTGGTAGTTTTGAAATAGCACCAATAATAACCCAGGGAAGTGTCATGTAATTTTTTTATTTTCCGTTATGACAGGTGTCTAATGCATGTCAGCATGAAATCTTCATCACTGCTGTATCATCCTTTTTGGTTTTCACTATGCATTTATAAATTTTAAGTTGGGAGGTTTTTGTGAGGGTTTCGTTTTGTTTTGTTTTTAAACTGGAAAAACTAGCTATTTTGACAGAAGGAAGGTACTAGGCTATGAGCACAAAAGTCCGTCTGCCTGTAGGGAAGATATCTGAAATCCTACGAGTAGGACTTGGTGCTTTTTGCTTTTAAAAAGCTGTGCTTGGCACGCTAATATGGAGGAGACTGTTCAGAAACTAATGTGAGTTTGTAGTCTGTGCATACGTGGGGTCAAAGTACAGTTTGGCTAGATACATTTTTCCAGTTTAAATAATCTCACTAACCATTAACTTTTGAATATCTTTTGATAAGAAGGCTGGACAAATGATTTTGCTCTTCTAGAGAGTGAAGTCCACAACATTTAATTTTGCTCTAATCCAAAGTGTGGTGTTTCCCTTTTTCTTTTTTCTTTTCTTTTTTTTTTCTTTCAAGTTGATGTGACAACTTACCGAAGAGTACTGTGGTTTTTGCTCCATGTTTGTTTATTTGAATCTGACATGGCGGCTTTTGTTAGATCTGGGCAATTTGTGCTTCTGTGTTTTTGAAACAATGGCTTGATACCATTTCTAAATGTATGTATTAGAAATAACTAATTATGTTGAGTTTGGTGCTTACCTACAGAGTGCCATCATTCAGATGAATCTCTCATTTGTGTTGCCCATTCTGTTGTGCAGGTTCATAATACTGTTTATCTTTTTAAGCCTTCAGGACGGAATGAAAGTAAGAGTCTAAAGCTCTCTGGTTCTAATTCTCATTAGCCAGAATTTCATAATCTCAATATTGGATGTTCTTTGTAACAACCACTTGTTTCTTTTACTTAAAAGCTCGTTTAGTTGATTTTTCTGGAACTCAGTTCAAATGAATGCAAAGAAAATTTCTTCAAGTATATCATTTAATGACCTATTAAGTATTACTGGTGAAAAACATCAAGCTAATTAAGGCTTTTAGGTCACAACTTCAAAGTTTATGGAAAACTAAGCAATCATTCAGCTCCTAGCCAATTTTTTAATACTATTTTGTTGGTTGTAATTGGGATTCCTTTAAAGGGTTTTCCACACAGAAATTTAAATTCCTGGTTTAACGTGTATACTTGGACCCTGTAGACAGAGTTTTCTCTTTAAGGATTACATCTTAAAATGTCCATCCTTTGGCTGATAGAAGCTTTTTGTCACATTTTGAAAGTAACATACTCACTGGCCCTATAATTTGAGATACAGTAGGAAAAGTAAGGGCTGTGTGTGTTGCTTTCAGAGTCAAACACTGTTTAGGTTTATTTAAAAATTTTATGAGCCCGTTTTCACTGACAATATTTGTTTTGTTTTGTTTTTCTTTAAATTTGAAATCCACTTTCTTTAGACCATGAAATTGCTCATTATGCAGGTACAGCTTGAACTGCAGTTTTGGGTCCATATAGGAACCATTCACCAAAAACTGTGGTAACAGAATTCGGAAATCCTCTTGAGAAGAGGGCCTTAATGACCTTTGTATGTGAAAAGTTTTGGAGAGAATTTTGGGACTTTTTTTTTCTGTCTCTGCCACAGTGTGTGGTTTTGAGATAGCAGTTAGGTGTGAGAACAAGAAGAGAAGTGGAGCTGACCTTGTTAAAGTTCTGGTTATAATGATGTCCCTAAAGGGAGAAATTGATTTCAGGTAACCACAGTGAACTGTCTAGCTAAATAAAAAGGTTTCTATGTTTGATTTAAACAGTTAAAAAGTCCTAAAGTGTTCTTGGCTGTTTAGCAATTGTTCGTATGAGTTTTCTTAGAAGAACAGCTACTGTCTTTGGTAACACAGATGAAGGTGGATTTTTAAATGGCTTTGTATCTTGACCCCTTTCCGCAACTGAGTAGTTCTGGATTGTTCCATATAAATTACGGAATGAAAATGGGAAGGGGGGGTAAAAGTTTGACTAAACTCCAACTTTCTTAGTTTCATTTTAAGTTATTTTTAGAATATATTGATTGTAAATTGATTATAAACTTCCTTTTTTTCTGAATTTTTTGACATGTTTTACTCAGTTACATGAGTATGAGTAAAAGGGTATTTTCAGTCCTATAATCTTTGCTTAATTGCAGTCCTTAAAAAAATCCACCCTGTTGTTTTACTTGTTGTCTGTTTATACAGTAAATTCATTCAAGGTATGTGCCAGTGGGTATTATTGGTGCTTTTTGAAGTCAAGCTGGACTATCCAGGAAGGTCTTGTTAACCTGTTCATCTATAATGGCATAGGGGAAATATATATATTTTTAATATTGTAAACATTTGTACTGAATAACCTTTTTTCCCCCCCTTGCAAGCAAAACTGGTGAACTGCGGATTGAAGATATGGAATTCAAAGCTCTAATGGACCTTTTTGAAGAGAAGTTGTGGCTTATGTGGAGTTTACATGGGCCTCTTGATGGAAGAAAGCTAATCTGTTTAGTATTTGTGCATTTTACTAAAATGGCAGCTTAAAGTTGTGTATCTGCTATTGTGATGCCAATGCCGGTGTTTTAAGTGGAAAAAAATGACCTCTTGCTTTGTGCTGTGTACACAAGATTTCTGGAAAAGTAAAGAAAAACCCTTTTTATGGCTCACACAGCTTAAAAGTAGCTGTCACTCAAACGTGCGCTCACAGTTGAGCTGCTTTTGTTTTATTCTAAATAAATTGTTTCTTTTGAGGAAAATGTTTTTCTGCCTGGAAGTGAATTGACGGCAAACCTTTGACCCCTTTGTTTGCAGCCGAGGGGGTACTTGCTGCTGCTCAGATCTCGTATGTCTTGAGCAAGAAGCAGGGAGACCATCATTTTGACTATCACGGTGTGTCAATTCTGAAGGATCACTAGTGTTACTGTGACCCCCTTTGTTTGCAGTGAAGGGGATCATTTGCTTCTCAGTCCTCAACTTGATGAGGAAATGGTGCTGTTTGCGGGCACGCAAGAAGCCGGGGCGAGCACCCTAAGCCTCACCACAGTGCACGAGTCGGGGGCTTTGCTGGTTTGAAGAGCCGGAGTTGCTGAAATTTAAGTTTTGATTTATTTTGTTCACCCATCACGTTTGGCCTTAGTTTCATTTTTAATTTGAAGAAAAGTTTGAAATTGCTTTATCTTGCACTTAACATTTGCACCAAATTGCCAAAAGAAGGAGAAATGCTCCGTTTGCTTTTTAAATGTTAATGATGATGTTAATAAAGCCTTTCCTGACACATTTGAGGAGCTCCTCCATCTCCAGGGGCTTCTTACCCGAGTTATGCAGTGATGGGTTTAGTTCTGAATGGATGAAGAGTTCCTGAGAGCTAGCGTTTGTAATTAGAACCGTTACTTGGTATCTGTGCCTTATTTGACCTGTGGTTCCACATGCCTTGGATGTGCATGCACCGTGACGGTTTCATAGGTACGAACGCACACTCAGGCCCAGTCACTTCGGTTGGTAGTACAGATTGTGAGGAAAAAAAAATGGAGGCATCCTTAAGGAGGAAAAAGTGTTTGCCTTTAGTTCCTGCGTTATCCTGTACAGGGGCTCCTGAGCTTTGGAAGCTGTTCCCAGTACAGGAGAACAACCCCCCTGTTTGCAGCAGGAGACTTCGGTGCAAGTGACAACGCTGGAGTTCAAGAGGAAGCCAGCAGTGCTGCACCATTGGCTTCAGACACCATTGTTGTTTGCCAGTTTTAAACTTACCTAGTTGCAGACGAAGACCACCTTGAAATGCAGGCTTGTTGGGCTTGTTTTGAATTTTAACCTCGGATGGAAGAGCCCTAGTGCTGTTTGTCTCCAGGCGGGATGATGCTTACTTAGGCAACAGGTGATTATCAACAAAGGATGCCACGGTTATACGCTGCAAGGTGGTGTTCCAGGGGCAAACAGCTGTATAAACCCTTGTAAACAGGTAAGAGGGTTTTTAGAGGTCAAAAATGCATTTGGTTAATAGGGTGAGGGCTTTTACTGGTTGGGGTATTGTTTTCTCGGATTGGAAGCCTCGAGGCACTCTGCTGCCATTACTAGCTTCCACCCCTCACTACAGTGTTGTGTTCTTAAAATTCCAGATCGGAACTTCTGTTCTATTTGGTGTCTATATGTGTTTTTTAAGTTTAACTTTAATATGCGAAAAAAAATTTTTTTTTTTACTGTGGGAGCCAAAAGTATTAAAATCCTGGTGATGGATTTGGGATTTACAATAGCCTGATGTCCTTTAAAGTTTTGACATGTTCCATTGGCCTTGACCTTCACCCATTGTTGGGATTTAATGGTGCTGGAAGGATTTATTGCTATATATAATGTTGCCATTACAAACATTGATTCTAAACCTCTGGGTTAGTATATATATATATATAGCAAAAAAAGAAAGACTGGGAATGATAGATAATTTAGCCAAAATGGTTAGTTTTCTTGGCTTACAAAGAGATTGAATTGTAAAAGTAGGCAACTGTAGTTTTAAGGCAATGTTGTGAGAAATTAGTTTTTGTCTGCTCTTACCATTTTCATTGTCCATTTAATCCTACTAGGCTTCTGAGCCCTTCCAGTCCCTCTGTCCACTCCCCCACCCCCGCCATTAATCAAGTGTGAGGCTTTGGCAACTTAAATACAAGCACAACTTTTTTAGCATATAATACAACTAGGTTTCCTTTATTTAAACCAGGTCGAAATGTTGAATAGAATTTTTCCTCTTCACAAAATTCTAGTTTTTCATCTCTTTCCAGAGGGGAAAAGTGAAGTCCAGTGGTGGTTGGTGTGTTTGGTTTTTTGTTTTGTTTTGTTTTGTTTTTTCAGTTTCTCAGTGTGTCATTTACAAGTTTTTAAAACCTCTGCTTACGAGTTGGCTGTCCTCTAAAACTTTGCTAGGTGATTTCACAACATTTCTTCAAAAGTTTTATACCTGTTGGAAATGTCAATTTCCAATAATATTTTCTTTCTCTGGTAGTCCCCACTGAAAGCCCATTAAGTAGTTTTTCCAACTAGTAAGCAAGTTTTTTAAATCATTATAATGATTTAAGGAAGATTATGGGACACTCCGCATATTTCTACATGTTTGGTATCTTTCTAAGATCTCAGGTTTCATCTCAACAAGAAGCAAAGGTTGTGAATAGAACAGTTGTTTATTTGTATGTGAAACCATATCATGCAAAATGGAAAGGTACACAGCATGACAATCTTTTGAAACAGCTTGTGAAATCATTTTATTTCCAGCTACACCATGAAGGAAAAACTGTTAATGGGGTTGAGTGTTAGATCTAGAGTTCTGGTTTTATAAGTTGGGACCTGCCTTTTTGAATCCCTTGTGTGGTTTCTCAGTATCTTTCGTATGGTCTAGATTTAGGATTCTACTATAGGGGAAATTATTCCAAGAACGCCTCTGAATTGACTTGTGCTCATTTTGTAAAGCCTGGCTGTGGGTATTAAAATTGAAAATAGGGAGTACCCTGACTTTAGTAACACAACTTAAATTTTATAAATTGCCACTTCTGTAGCTTAAGTCACATTATTGTTTACAAACTGTTTATCTGAGGCAGTAAATTTAGTGCTTATGGCTGGTTGCAGCATCTATTTTTTGTTTTACAGTGTGTTATCTGATTATGGCTTATCTGACCACCACTTCCATCTCCCTCCGGTTCCAATTTACTCTCCTTAAGCAATTTATTGAATGACAAAATTCCTTCAAGCCTCAGACAAGATTGTCCTTAGCAGCCAAGAAGAGATTTTGACCTTGAGGTCAAATTGCTTAACATGCTTCTACTAAAATGCTATAATATTAAGCTTTCAGGTAGAGTCTCTGTATAATCATTTGAATGCTGATTGTATATTAAATAAGATGCAGAGCATGTAGATCAAAGTATGGAATAGTCTCTACCCACATCAGTAACTTACACTGTTTGGTGGGGAAACTAGTTATAAACAAGTAGATGGTTAAATACCAGGGGGGAAGTTCACAGTTTAAGACAATTGTAAGGGAGATGTCATAGGCCAGTTGTTGATTAATTGCTAATGAATTTTTTACAGGTGATATGAGTCTATATGAACTTGAAGGTTACTTTAAGCTGGGATAGTCAAGAAAGACTTTACAAAATAATTTGTAAAGTTGGAGAAAGATGTGGAATGAAGAGGGAGATTGTGGTTGAGATATCAGGCAAGCAGGCATGAATAATATAACAGCTTTATGGATCAGTGGAAAAGCTGACCAGGCTGAAACCTGGAAAACTTGTAAAATGGTCCGGTCAATAAAAATAGGGAATCCTGAAAGGTAGTTTGAGAGAGGGAAGTGAGGGTGTATATAATCAATTGATAGAAAGTGGAGGCAGGTTGGTAGAAAGTGACAGTACTAATAATAGCAATCATTTGTTAAATACCCATTTAGGCCGAGGAGCATTCTGCGGGGCCTCTGCACACATTGTATCAGATAAGTCTCACCAGAGACCATGATCTGACAGCTGGAATTGATAGAGCCCGGGTTCTAACCAGGTCTTTCTCCCAGTTAGGGTTCTTGGTTGCTGTATTGCCATACCTCACTACTTTTTTCTGGAGGCTGGGATGGGATAAAGTAGCAAACTTGAGAAAATGTCCAGGCAGTGGGTTTCAAACTGTAGAGTGTATCAAATTTGTGGTTCTTGGGAAGCATGCAGGCCTTTGGCTCCATCCCCGGGCATTCTGGGATTTGTTGGGCTGAGGTGGCTCAGGAGTCTTTGTTCTTCTACAAGCTTCCTCAGTAATTCTAATGTAGTCTGTGGTCATTGGCCACATGTGGAGCAGCACTGGCCCACAGAGAGTACAGTGCTGAAGTATAAACTCGGAGTAATATCATATATAAGGCCTGGGAAGGGGAGATGGTATGGAAAAGAATCCCAAGTAGAAGAGGCAGAGTGGTGTTCTGTCTCTGAGGCTGAGAGGAGGAATTTCCAGAAGATAAATTCAGAGCTGTTACAGAGACAAGCAAAATGAAACTGCAAATGCCATGGAACTTATCACTTAATAGTCATGTAATTATTTCTCCAAGGAATTCCATCTAGTTTAGTGTGTAATTTTGCCTTATAATAGTCTAAGCCACACTTCAGTTTATAAAATGCTAAAGGAACACCAGAAAAGTTTTGTAAGTTGGCTGAGTGATACACAGCCATAAACTGGGATATCCCTGAGGTTTCAGATGTTAATCTAAAAGTAGTATGACTGTAGTCTATTTTAAGTTAAAATTGAAAATGATTCTAGGATTATGTATATGTGTATGTACATGTGCAAGTTGCTTTCCATGAATGAACCAGCACCTATATCTACTACCTCCTAAGCAGGTTACTGATAAGATTGAGACAGATTGGAATTATAAAGTTGAGTGTATCTTTGACTTCTGAATGGTTGAAGGGTTTCCTGTTTTGGATTATCTAAACTGGGTTTGTTTTCAGTTAGTGTGGAATTAGTTAATTCTTCAAATACTTAGGTATCT